ATGATTGTGGAGACGATGATAGAGAAGACAAGCAAGAAGAAACCAGGTGACAAAGGCTCCTAAGTGACACACACCCTCCCTTGATAGTCAACTTGTCTGGCATAGTTATTAAATGACTGTTTTTTTTTCCTGACCGAATGATACAGTAGTGAGATTTTTGCTGTTTGGTATGGAACAGATTGATACCTTGATGGCAATCCTGTCTGATGTTGGCTCATCTTTGGTGCAATGACCGTTAGAGCGCTCCAGGGCAACCAGTAATAGGCACATTCTATGCAACTGATTTTCATGATTGGGAGAATTTGAAAGTAATTATTATGACAGAGCTGCCTGACTTTCCACAGCATCCGGGACAAATTTGCATATTCCTCTACCGCTCCTGTAGCTGCCGTACGATTCCCCATCTCTCAGACAGCTGCAAATGTGACACTTGTGATATCTGGTTCATTTAATAAAAGTTTTGCCTTCTACTGAAGATACCCACTGTGGGTTTGTGTTGCCTTTACCGTTGACTAATGGTCCCTGCTAGTAAACATCAACTGACTGGGTGTGCAGGAGTTTTTCCAGGGATGGGCTGGCTACTGGTTAAATAACCTATTCCAGATCACTCTCATTTACAGTCTTTAAATATTGATGAGCGTGGCAGACCTGATCTAAAGACAAACTCTCTGTATTTGAAATAAGCTCTTACTGCGTATCTTCTCAGAATAAAACTTGAGATTACACCAAAACGGGAGATAACTCTAATAAAAGGTACTAAAGGCATCATTTGTCCTTCACCAACACAACTAAGGTATCTGTGAATGTCAGCAAGCTTTTGAGCAGACTGCAGCCAAATCAAAAGACTCTGTTTTGGTGTTTCCTTGTTAAGTATTTCCTCAGCCTGGAGTGTTTTGCAGAGTTCAATGCTGCCACGTGATCCTGTCGCAGCCCGGTCGCCTGCAGTCCCATGGAGCTCCACGGGGCTGCTGGAATAAGCAGTGCCTTCCCATGTCCCCATGCCTGGGGAAGCAAAAAGCAACACTTCTGCAACTGCCTCTTGCAGCCTCCAGAAATCTTCAACTCAGGAAAAAACAAAACCAACCAAACAAAAAACCCCTTCACTTGTGTACGTGCAAATCCCGAGCACTGTTTAAAGTGCTGCTGCATCGTTTAGGCCTCAGCTTGGCTTCAGGCACACAAATAATCCCAGTTAAGTGAGGTGCTTTTCTAGGCTGGGGTCTACACATCCCTTCTCCTATCCCATCCCATCGCAAGTTCTCTAAGTTTTGTTTCAGCTTTTGGCATTGTTACGCCTTTTCTTTTCTGGCTGATTACTCTGACCAGCTGCGGAGGAGGGAAGGGGCTAAACACCACGTGAGCTGACAGCCCTGAGCCTCGTGGCTGCCCCCTCACATCACCCAGGCCTTCCCTTCCATAGTGTGTCAGGTTTGGGTGGGGTTATTTTCTGAGTGGGTTCCAAGGCAGGTGTAGTATCCAATATCCAATCTGCTGTGACTGTGACATCTGGTAAAGTGGCACCTTCTTGCAAACAGGGACAGGTGACCCACAGAGTCACACTTTTGTTCAGGGTTTTTTTTGTCGCTGCTGTTGCGTTGAGCTGCTGTGGGAGGTTGTCCCAGGCACGCCTTACGCTAAAGTGTGTGGTGCTTTTCAGTTTAATTTATTAACAGTGTAAATAACCGCAGAGGAGGAATTTATCAATGTGGACACAGGCTGCACTCTGGTGAGCTGGGAGCAACTGCTCAGAATAACTGCTGGACAGAGCAGGTATTGACTACTGTAAGGTGGGGGGCAAGGAGGGGAACAACCAACCAAACCTGCAGCAATAGGAAGTCTGTTTAATAACTCTGTCAAAAAAAGCCCAGGGTGGAGAGGGACTCAGGCAGTACCCAGACAGAACTGGGAATTCACCCCCTCCCCCCCCCATCTGATGTCACTGCAACACAGAGCTTCATGCTCAGCACACAGAGAGCCTCGGTCGGTGGAAGGGAGGTGGCACTTGAGGAGAGCCTGGGTTTGGTGTCTCATCTGTGATTAGTCCTCGCCACCTTCATCTGGTTTGTGCTGTGGTATCACCACTCTTCACTGCTGACACAGAGATGGTTTTCTGACACTCGTAAACCTTGTTCAGCAGCCATGCAGTAAAAAAACCACTCCTAAAGTGGGTTTGCTGGTACTTAATACTGACAGCATCACGTACTGCATTGCGTAGGCGGCTGCCTGAGGTGCAAGACGTGAACCAGGCTGGCGCTGAGCTGCACCATGGACACCAACCAGTCAAGGACCGTGAGGAACTATGGCTGAAATTCTGCTACGATCTCAGACCTGCCTTCCACAAACACGGCGGCTGCCCAGTAAGGCTGCAGATGACAGGCATCTTTCTGTAAATTTGTATGAAAATTGTACAGAAAACCACTAGTGTTCTGTTGTCCATGATGACAATGCTGAAGGGTACAGTAAATCCCATGATTTGTGTGCTAATCTCTGCTTTAAATGCAAATTCTCAATGAAGTATTTAAATGCTAATTTATAAAGTGTGATGGTGAAATACTTGTGAGCATCTGTGCAGTAGAGCTGGGGACGAGACTTAGGTCGCTACAGGCACATTCTCGCTGCTGTGGCACTCAGAACCAGATCAGGAGGTTCCCTGCCATCTTCTACTGCTGCAGACATGGTAAAAAAGTATTAAAAAAAAAAAAGAAAAAAAAAAAAAAGACAAAAAAGACATGTACCCTGTGCCATGGGAACACTTGCATTAAAAAAAGTACCCCAAAGTGTGGGTGGGAAGTAGGGAGGAAGAGGGAAAGGGGGGTTTTTTTGTGGACCAGTGCACCAACAGTAGAGAAAAAAAGAAAAAAATAAATCTGCTGCAGCATTTCCTTGGGGCCAGAACTGTGGATGAAATGTGGTGCAAGAATGTCCCCGTCTCTCTCCCGACACGTCCCCTTCCCCACAGCGGGCGGCAGGTCAGCACCCGCATGGCTGCGTGCCACTGCAGCTGCCCTTGGAGCCAGCGGGTCTGAGCCACCTCAGTAACGCCCAAGGCTCTTCCCATCCTGTGCCCTTCATCTCGTGCGTCCCACCGCATGGCAGAGGTAACGTAAAACCTGCTGGTCTTCAGCTCTTGCTGTCAGGTGTTTTGGGGGATTGTGTTTATTTTCTGAGTATCCAGCTTACATGGGATACAGCTGCCCCACTGGTGGAAAAGCCGAGGAGTAGGAACTGTCCCACTTCCAGCGGTGTGTCACCGCCCGTGTGTCTTTGTATAGGCAATGATGATGATAGGACCTGCCAGTTTACAACAGCTCTTTATTTTACTCATATTATAAAACATCATCACAGGGCTTTAGTTAAACAGTGTTCACCTGTTTCAAATCATGAGCTTCATTTTTCCCTTTTATATAAATACTAACAAATTAACTTTATTTTCCATCAATACCATAAAAACTTGGTCTAACTGGACATATTTTTCAGTGATCCCCTGATGCAAAAACCCCGAAGAATCTGAAGTAGATCTCTATATTGTATATACACTTAGTTTTATACAGACTTATATCAAAACTCACCATTTCTGTATAGCACTCATTATTGTGATCTTTCGCTTAATTATGCCAGTATTATGAAAATATGAGCAACCATCTTTGTTATTTTGCTGCTTTATAAGATATTTAATGATTGAACAGAGAACTGCAAAATTACATGAATGCAATGGCAAATCAGGTACACGTTCATTTAAGATTTCCACATGGACTTTTCTTACTCCAAAACTTTTTTCCATGTTAGAAGTCCTCCAAAAGCTTCCAGTTGCCTCTTTCTTTGAACACATACACACAAAAAGTTATGATATGCGTGTATGTATTATACATTACATACCATATGTAATTCTATTTATAAGCAAATATATGTAACATACTCTGAATATACATATTGTATGTAATATATATGTATATATACACAGAGAGAGAGAGATACCACGCGTGTTGTATGCATTTAGAGGTGTATGCATAAATAGCTATGTATGTGGTCAGTTCTGTCCCTCTGCTATGTATATGCTGCTCTTTCTGGGAACTGGGTGCCTTCCACAGCAACCCGCTGCCGCCAGCACCATCTGGTCACTTCCAGAGACACAAGCAAACCTGTCCCCGACCCGCTGAACTGCAGTGAGGTTGGGCTCGTGCCTCGTGAGCTCCAGTTCATGCTTTGGAATGGACCCATCTTGACCTTAAGTTCTAAGTCACCAAATTAAACCCAGTTGGCACTAGAAGGTATTTGAACAACTAACCAAGAGCACTTTGAAAATAAAAATCACAGGGGGCCCAATTCTTCTGCCGACGCCTGCTTTATCCCATGACTCGACTGTCCAGAGGGACTGCTGCACGCAACGAGGAGCCTGTGAGTAGTGCCAGGCTGCTTGGCTTGGCTTTAGAGTGTCATTCACACAGACTTCGAGTAGGCTGAGCTGTTTATTTTGCATGTGGATTTGTAAAGGAAAGAACAGGCCTTTTATGGAAAGAGAAAAGATGGACATTCACTAGAAATAACAACAGAGATTGTATATTCTTAAGTGAAACGTGTGCACCATATAGCCTTTGGGATACATTTTTAATTTGACAGATAAATATTTACTTACTGAATGTGTTTCTACTCCTATGCACCTGATTAACCAGGAGAGCTCTTATTAAAATGTTTTAGATGAATACTCTGCATATTAAAAATACATAATAAAATTCTGAAACCAGTCACTGCTAAAAAGTAGATCTTGGGTTCTGCAAAAATGCAAAGCACCTGCTTAAAATGAGAATTTGTGTAGGTTCACTGATGGCCTTTACTTTAGTTTATTATGTGCCTAAGTATTTGCAGAATCAAGACCCTTTACTATTCAAAGGTTAAATTTGGGATCTCACACCTGAGAACACGTAGTGGTTACTACAGTGAGTAATCCCCACCAAGGAGAATGTTATGTCTTGTGGCAATAGCCAGAGCAGACTCTGAGGGTGAGAGAGACTGACTTTACTCATGTGTGAAAAGTGAAGGTGGGACTGACTCAATTAAACAGCGAAGAGCAATGATTACCAACAAATCTTCCCAAAAACTACATTTTATTTCCCAAGAAGGCCAACTTTGCATTACATATTAGTAACTTAGGCATCTTTTTCTTCTTAAATATATTTGTATAACATAAAAATAACAAATTCCATTTTTAAAAATGAAATTTGAATTAAAAAAAAAAAACAAAACCAAACCCCTTTGGGACTCAAACCGTGTACTTCAGATTTCTCGCACAGCAGTTTAGGGACAGGGGTTGTAAACCCCAGAAAACAGGGGTCTGTGGTTGGGAAGGTGACGCAGCTCATCTGACGCTGCTGTAGTGCATCTCGGTGTGGAGATAAGCAGATGTGCTTTTGCACACAGGTTGCCAGAAATCCTACAGCCCTACGTGCTCATTCTGCTGTAAGATGGGAAATTTATTTAAATTGACAACATTTAAAAAAAAACCCAAACAAAACCAAAAAAACTAAGAGGGAAACAAACTTGTGCTTCTAGAATGCCCTGACCCTGTTTGCAAAGCACTTCCCCTTGTCACCCGGCTTTGGCATCGCTTTGCCTTTCTTATTGCATGCCTGTTGAACTATTTTGTAGCTGAAGCGTTGGTGTGTCTGTGGTGTAGGTGTAGAGACTGAAGAAAACTCTCAAAAGAATGGGATTTCTGTAAATTGGGTTGGTAAATTTTCTTCATCTCTGGATTATTTCTTTTTGTAGGGTCTAGTGCTGCTTTGGGGAACGTCCCACTGATGTGGGAGTGATGCAGAAGGAGCTGTTAGACATTCAAAGATCTCTCCAGCCAACCTCCTTGTGATTCCCTCTCTCACAATAATTTTTAAAATGTGCCCATTATCACCAACGGCCAATGTTAAAATTCAGTTCTTTTTTTTTTTTTTTTTTAATACAACCAAACAACATTTACCACAAAAATATGAAGGGAAAAGCCATCAACTTCTTTGCGGGTTATTACCTATTTGTATGACACAAAAGAAAAATCATTTACAGCCACAAACTGTACACAGTATTTAGTGGGGACAGTGTATTTGTGGTTTAGAGTAAAAAAAGGATTGCTTCAGTGGTAATTAAAATAATTATTGATGAGATATAAGACTTTAAAATCAAGAAAGTGTGATAATTTGGCTACAGAGACGATCATTGTAACATGTCTAACACAGAGGTTTGGATAGTAGAAAGGCGAGTAGAGGGCTCTGGGGAAGGACAGACACCGTCATGCAGAACAGCACTAGTTCTTGCTCAGTATACTCTTCAGGCTTCTCTCCACTGCTTCATCCAGTTCTTCTTCCAGCTCCTCCTTCTTGGACATGGCCAGTTTGGACTGATAATCTTTTACTATTTGGTCTATATAGGGTGCGCTCTGAGTCCCGTGCAGCATCAGTGTCCACTCCTTCAGCACGCCCCGCTGTGGCAGACTGCCCACAAACCCAACCTCAAGAGCCCAGGTGCCTCGGGGGTCTTCTCCCCAAGTGTGTGTGGTCATGAAAGGCCATTTGTCAAAACCCACCTTGGAGTCGTCATCCCTGGGGCGCCGGCTCAGTAAAATAGACTTTGTTCCCATCGGCGAGGTCATGTTGATGTTGAGGTCTCCTCGCCTGGTGGAGTTCACAGTTATAACCGCTTGGACGTGTTCAAGGTATCGGACAAAGTTCTCCTTCCCCTCACAAGCATCAGTTGTAAGCGTGAGGACCAGCTTGCCACTTGGTGGTATCTTTCTGCAGGTCAAAAGATAATTAAACAAATTAAAAGGACAGAGATGGCATGACAAGGCTCATGCTAAAACTACTGAGGTTTGGTGCCTCACAGAAAAACCCTTTTCCTTATTCATACATGGAAAAAAGTAAGGAAATCGTCGTTGCAAACTTAGCCAGAAAGAGAACATTCTCTTTTTTAGAAAATGATATCAAAAACCTTAATTTGAAAATGCTTTATGAAATGTACACCCACGCAAAGAGAGAAGGAATACCGTTAACAAGTACATGCTGCTCTTTAAGAAATATTAACGTATATTTAATAGTTGCCTTTACTTATCACTGCTGTTTTGGGTAATTGCATAATAATGTGTATGTTCAGTAGAAGTCAGTCATGTCAGACACTTTAGAAGACAGCAGCCAACAGCTGTCTGGAGTCAGGAGGAGCCACCTGCACAGAATTTCAGTGCAGTCCCACTAAAGCCTACCTCCTTCTGATTTGGAAAGCGGCACAAACAAGGGATCCCAGGCACACCGAGGACACCTGGTCACCGAGCTGCCACAGTGCTGCACTGTGAAGTCACAAGTTTCTTGTTTTTTTTTTTTTTAACTCAGTCCCTCTGAAGGCAAAGGAACTGTTTTGACATGTGTCCCAAGTGTCAGCAGAGAGGCAGACCCACAGGCAGAGCACAGGCTTGGTCCGTGCCAGGCGCATCCATCCCTGCCCAGCTCTCACCGCGGAGCCGGCAGCCACTGCGTGGGCAACCCCGCTGCCCAGTGCCTGATAAACCCCGCGGGGTCAGGCTGCGACTGGCAATTACCAGCTGCCTCTGAAACTGCCTGGCAACATACACAGGAACTGCAAACAAAATTCCTCTGTGTCTTCACCATCAGAGTGCTGACAGCAGCGCGACACTTCAGTGAAAAGAAACACCTGAAAGACAAGAATTACTGTAATCATTAAAAAAGGGAGTAAGTCACACAAGACTCCAGCCAGCTTGTCATTACCTCTTCCAGTGGCTTCCTCCTGACCTGGGTTTTGCAGTGAAAGAAGAGAGACAGTCCCTCTAAAAGGGCACTGGCCACGCTGCGGTGGTGAGTACCTTCTTTTCAGAAGAAATGAGCAGCAGCCTTTCCCTTTGCTAATGAAACAGCGTGTTCTTTAGAGACCAGTGAAAGTGTCTCCTCCAAGCCCAGCTTCCAGGAATTCTCCTCTTCTTGAGATGTGCTCCAGGTACTACAGCTTAGTCCATCACTAATTGGCTCAGGCCTCTCTCTGCCCCCCTTTCATGGAGTACTGCCGCCTGGGAAGTGCTTGCAGAGTAAAAAGACATTCAGGTCCAGGTCCCCAAGGCAATTAAACACTTACCTTAAACCGAAAAACCTGCCTTGTTCTGAATCTTATGGATGCCCTGGAGCAGAAGCTGGTATAACATAAATACTGTATAGCTACAGTATGTGAACATATAATACCCTCAAGATTTACTCTGTGTGCCAAAGCAGAGGGAAAATGCACTATATGCAGCCAGAGGTGAAGGATCATCATCTCACACTAGTCACATGCTTGCAATTTCTCTGCATGGGAAGCAATGTCCTCAGAGCCACCTGGACCGATGTTGTCTCTCAGCAATCGGACTCAGCTCTGTCACACAATGCTTCACTCCCAGAGCTGTGAGGAGCGCTTTCTGTCTCCTCCAGTAAGTGAGGGAGGACACCACAGTGTGAGCCCTTCCTGTCTCTCAACACCAAAACCCAAAGAAGTAAGAGCAGCGTTACCACTCCATCCGCCCTGCAGACAGCTTTTCTCACCTTCTTAAGTGCCGCAGCACAAAAGTTATCTCAGCTCTCTACAACGCACGAGAAAAGGCTGGCTCTGTTCCCCCTTTCCTGTTAATTAGGATCCAATGCTCTCTGCTTTGCTAGACTCATTACTGCACTCCAGGTGAATCGCCCCAGAGAAACAAAAAGAACCAGGAGTGGTGGAAAAAGCCTGACATGAAAGGAGCAGAAGAGGAGGGGGGTTTTCCACACCCTCAGTGTGTCACTGCCCAATTGCTATATATATATATATATAAAAAATAAATAAAATGTATATTCACTTTTGCATGTAGTACCCAGTGAGAGATGAGCAGGGGGAGCTATCCGCTCTCTAGAAGCGCGCTCCCGTGCTCCTGATCCTCAGCTACAATGTCCTAAATCATCCTTGTATCTCCCTGAACCAGCCAGATTCTGATTTTTTTTTTTCTTTCTTTTAGCTGACCCAACAAAAATCCCTTTTCAGGGAGAGTTCCCATCGCCAACAAGTGTTTCCACAAGCAGCAGAGAAATGCTGCACTTTCCCGATGGCTTTCAGCACAGTGTATATTCTAGGCTGCCAGTTCTGTTTCTGCTGCTCTGGCACACACCTCTGGATCAGCTCCTCACCGACCTATCTACAGTGAATGTGTGTTTATATACACAGAGTCTATACTTACAGAAACATCTAGAGAATACAGATATAAAATGTTGCTCCAGCAAGGTCAAACTAGAAAAATAACCCAATTATCCATGGCAGAAGTGCAGTGTAGTTTTACTTTCCAAGGAATCTCTAGAGATGCTGGGACTTAAGTAGTTTTATTTACAATTCCAAAAATGTAGATGTTGCAAGTGATGCTGCTTAACATCTCCTGTCAGTGACATTTGCATTGGGGGATGGAAATACTACAGTAGTCCTATTAACATATAGATGTGTCAGGTAATTACAGGGGGGGCACCAATACAGACCACACACTGAGATGACCTTTCAGTGGAGTGTCCTGGGTTTGCTAGGATAGAGTAATTTTGTTCTTAGCAGCTAGAAAGCTCTGTGTTCTGGTGTCAGGGTGGGGACTGTTATGAGAACAGTGTTGGTAAGGTACAAGGACATGGTGTTTGGGTAGTCTGCAAGTGCAAAGGATTGGGAGGGGGGAAGTGTGGTAATTAGCAAAACCCAGAATTGACATTTGGCTCTGCCAATGAGATATTCCATCTCATATAACATCATGGTCAGTATATGAATGAGAGCTGACTGGAAAAGGTCGGGGGGGGGAAGGGGGTGATTCTCTCGGGAATCACTTGGGCTCACTCTTCCAGGATTGCGATTGTGGTTTCAGGTTCCTTTTCGCTCCTCCGGGTTCGTTATCAGCGGGTGGTGAGCAATTGTACTCTGCATCACTCATATAGATAGAGTTGTGTTCATTATCATTACTATTTTAATTTTATTTTACTCTAATTATTAAATTGTTCTTGTCTCAACCTACAAGTCTCCTCACCTTTACCCCTCCAATTCTCTCCCCGATTCCCTGGGTGTGGGGGGAAGGGGGGAGGTGCGAGCGGCTGTGTCGTGTTTGTCTGCCAGCTGAGTTCAACTGTCACACAGAGTCGGGTGGTGACTGACTTGGTTGACCTGTACAAATCTGTGTGCTGTGAGCCTGGAGCCTGTTCTGGCTGCTGTTCTCCAAAGACACCAATACAAGGCAGCATATTTCTCAACTCTGCAGCTTGTTGGGCAATGACAGCTCTAGGGAAGCTTTGCTGCAGTTCTGGATCCCTGGGCTGGAGGAAATGCACCGTCACCTCTGCTCTTCTACCCCTTCAACAGCAGAAATGGGACAGAAAAACAAAGGCAGAAGGAGACAATACTACAGCAGAGTACGTGCCTGACTCTGGCTCCGACTGTTGCCAGAACACCTCTATCACACTGTCTAATGCGTGGAGGAGCCAAGCCTACGGAAAGAAATTTTCTCTCTTCCTCTAGGATGATCCCTGTGCCAATAAATGGGGCTGCACTAGAGAAACAAGATTAGTTATCTGCATCTAAATTATGAATAAACTAGAAATAGCTCAAAATGAGTGTCAGCACTCTCATTTGCTTCGTACCCGTGAGCATGCGTAGGCCAGATGAATTAAAACTCAGATCTCAGCTGTAGAACCTTGGATCCTGCAAAAACAAACCCACCTGGAAGGCTGGGAACAAACTTACTCTGCCTGCCTGAGCCATGTGCCAGGGTGGCATACTGGTTTACTTTCTTCTTCCAGTAGGATAACAGTGCCTTCAAAACTGGCACTGAAGAGTCAAATTTCAAATGGTATAGACATAAATTGGCCATTATTAGGTTAGCATTTCAAATAATTAAATTGAACTCTAGCTGTCGCAGTCAATTAGTATTAATTCATTCACTTGTTGACTCATTCACTTTAGCACATGAAGGTAAATCAGAAAATAATTTTACTACCTAGCCTGCAATTAAGAGATGTGAAGAACATAAACCAAACACAATTAAATGCTGTAGTGTTCAAACTGAATCACTGGTACCTGTAGATGATTGTTTCAGTATTTTGGAGATAAAACTGTCTGCTGGAATATGTCACAGAGACACGACCTGGCTGACAGTTATTTTGTGTGGCAGCAGTTTCTGTAATTTACAGCGCCAGCCTCCCAGATTTCCTCTCGTGCGCAGGCTCTTTAGTCACAGAAACTTTGGCACAAACACTCCTGTAAGTAGCCAGGAGAAATGGATGCTGCTGTTTTCACCACTGGCACCAGCAATGGTGAGGCAGATGAGCTGTAGAATGCACTCTTCCAGCACACCAGGAACTGAGAGATGATGTGGTTTATTCTGCCATCTCAGTGAAATGGTTGGAATGCTACTGGTAATGTTAGACTTTCTTAGAAAAAAAAAAGGTCATTATGTACCTTTGACTATCTATGTCTCTGTCAATGTATTCACATGCTTGTGGTCTCCTAAACACCTGGAAGAAGCCAGACGTGTACACCAGACTATTCACTTACTCAGGTTCCTGTATTGACCCTCCAACACAATGGAATCTCTCGGGAACGGTCTTCCAGTCTTTCGCCATCTTAACCATTGCTCCCGCGTCCAGGACACCATAGCCAAACAGATGGTTGAATTCCAGCCCCACGCCGTTTCGACGCCACTGATGAACCTCGTCGTGAAGCTGGTTCCTCTTGGAGGTGAGCACTGTCAGATGCTGCATGTCTCTCCATGTCAGATCCAAGCTGTGGAAGACAACATGAAAAACAAACGGTACAGTATTTCCAAGCAGATACTACAGACAGACAGCGTGTCTGAGCAAGCCTTGGGTCAAATCTGCTTCTATGAATAGCACAGAAATTGTATCTATACGCGTATCAATAACAAAGCTGCTGCTGATTGCAGTGGGAACAAGAATAGAATCACAGAATCATTAAGGCTGGAAAAGACCTCTAAGATCATCAAATCCAACCCATCAATAGTTTTTAATTCTATAGTACTTCCCCAAAACATATTCCCCCAAATTGCAAAATAATTTCTGATTGTTTCCCTGTTCTTGAAAACAACTACACCTTATAAATCCACTGTGCAATTTTTAAGCTAATTAAAATGAGTAGGGTATTCTACCAGATCCTGAAAAGAATGCAAAAAGAACAGCATGATGACAGAATTTTGCCTAGCCTTCCTCTTAAATCTTGCCTTCTTTTCCTCGCCTGCTCCTCGTGCTTCCCATGGACCTTCTAAGATTCACCCAGAGAAGCCCCAGTCTGATGAAGCTGATGAGCTGTAACAATCACGGTGTTGGCAATTTCAGAATTCTGTGAAGATGGGTATGTGGGCTGTGGGTGGCTGTGGGTTTGCACGACAAGGTGTGGCAGAGGTTTGTCACCCGTGATATAGTAGCATAGATGGATACAGTCAAGTAACACTTGTCCAGATTCATGATCGTTTTTCATCATCAGCTCTTGTCTTGCTAGATTTGCAGTGATTATGATGACAGGAAGGGCACTTAGAAGTTATTATTCTGGAAGCTTTAGAAGTGACATTCTAATTCTACACAACTAAAGCCATTCCAGTTGGTTTATGATGAACTCTTTCAACATTACAATATGTCTGATTCAAATCTTCAACCTAAAAGGATCCGTTTTTCAGCCTTCCCTGCCCCAAGCAATAATGTGTGCAGGCTGTACACCAGAATAGCCAATTACTGCCATTTTTCCAAGGTGACACGAGTTAGCTGAAAACCAGATATCGCTGGCACCATTCTTACTGAAACCTCTTAACAGCTGCTACCTATCCTGAAACTGTACTTCCATTTCACAGATCCGTCTGTTTCTAGTGACACGTCAGGCATAAGGCCATCAGGCAGCAGTGGTCTGCAGGGGAAGTTGTTGGCCATTCCTGGGGAGGCCGGTGTAAGGCACCCAGGGTAGTTCTGCGCCCTAAACTGGAGGTTTAATAGAGCCAGCCTGGAAGGAGACAGGAGACACTGACAGTTCCATCTTCCACCCCCACCCCTGCCCTTCTTCTCAGCAAAGGCTGGAAACCCCATTGCAAACCAGGGGCATTAGTCTTATTTCTACCTGTGACAGTTTGGCAAGAGTAATTCCCATCTTCATGGAAAGCCCAAATGAAGAGGAATGGTAATTACTACTGAGATACTAAGGCTGTAGACCAGGTTAAACACGCAGTGGTCAGAAAATTCATTAAACCTTTATATTTTTATGGCCATCATTATTTATTACATCATGGCTGTCCCACTGAATGAATTTAATCCAAAGTTAAACACCTGGGGTCTGTGTTTTATGTGTATAAAACCTGAAAAATGAGACTTGACCCAAGTCAGGCTCTGAGCACAACAATCATTGCTCTGTTAACGACAGAAGCTTTCTCTCCTCGGCCAAATCTTCATTCTTCTGCATCCTGGTGAAGAAAATGATGTACACAGTGCTAGTGCTCACTTCATGCCATGGTTACAGCAACCTGAGCAAATGTTGTCTCACTTCGTAAAATAATTTAACACAAAATAAAAAGATGGCATAGGTTATTGTGAGGAAAACTTTTCCTAATCATTAGAGAAGAAGATAATGAAGCAGGATGTACAAGAGGTCTCCAATGCCATGAACAGCATGGAGATGGTAAATAGATAATGGATATTTCTTTCACAAAACAGAGCAATTAAGTAGCACAGAAGCAAATTACCAGCAATGAGTTAAGAAAAACCAAAGGAAACATCCCCCACCACCATCGCCAAAAACTATTCTCACTGTGGAACTGATTGCCACTGGATGAGACAGGTGTCAAATATAGACAAGTTGAAAAAGAGTTAGACAAATTCAAGGAAGATAAATCTGTCTGTGGCTATTAAACAGGACAGGCTGATTGCTCTCTCCCCAGACCACTGGCTGCCGAAGCTGTTGTTGAAAGATCGCTCTTAATGCCCGTTTGCTGTACTCTCCCCTAAGCATCTGTCGTGACAGACAGCGTGTGGCACAGCATGTACTCCTGGCTGGTATCACAGGGTCATTCTTATGTTTTGTAGGCTGAGCATTCCCCACTGGGTATGCGGAGAAATGAAAGAATCTCTCCCTCCAAAGAGTCCTGGAGAAGACAAACCCCTGGAAGCAGTGGCTGGAGAGGACACAGAGAGAGTCGGCCAGAAGGGATCTGTTACACGGCCTTGGCAAGGCTGTTGCTCCATCTGTAAGTTACCAAGCATGTCACTGCTGTGGCAGGCAGCTCCTTGGCTGCCCGTTCTAGCCCCATGCCAGGACAGCCAACTTGCAACAACATTAAACGAAGGTCAGGCCCTCCAGCCCCCCCAGCCTGGCCTCTCTAGAGCTCACAAGGAATTTCTCAGCAGCATACTTAGCCTCCAGGGCCAAGGCGAACACTCCGGCTGCTTCAGGGGCAGCTGCAGACGTTCCCGAGTGACGCAGGGTGCAGTTGCCGTATAAATCCGTTGTAGCCTGCAACGAGATTAGAGGTAATTAATGAAACTAGCTAGTCCATCTTCCTCACAGCTACAGAAAAATGCAGAAAGTGGAGTTTGTGCCCTTGCTCTTTACAGTAATTGTGTGTTTGTTCCTAGGATCTGTTTTCTTCTTTAGAACAGTGAATCAATTTGAAAACAGAGCGAGACATAGTTACAGAAGGTGTGAACGCAAGAATAAATTATGATGTGGGAAAGCAATGTTCATTACTGCTTAGAAGTCGTAAACTCATATGGATGTCATTTATTTCCTACAAACACAGTCTAACCAAAGGCCTTAAATTCCTTTGTTCTTATCAGAAGGATGTGAAACAAGAATTATTAGCTGTGTTGAGCTTTCTGACATTGTGCAACTCCAGAACCACCAGCAGTACCAGGCTGCCACCTTCTATGCAGATTAGTCACTAGAAGAGACCAGAAGGAAACCTCAGAAGTACATTTTATGGGGGTAATTACAAAGGTGCCACACATCATCTTGGCTGGTATCAGACAGAAATCAGCATTTTTCCATCTGCTACTGCACAGGGGCATTTAGGATGCTACAAAGTGTCTTTGAGTGTGAGAGAGGAAATGTACAGAGGCTTTTGGCAAAGACTGACCTTGAGTTATTACACCTGCATTTTCCACTCTGTGAATTAGATTGTCCTGGCCAGTCTAAAGGTGCTGAAGAGCAGAGATCAGTACAGGGGAAGGAAATCCCAGCTGAACAGAAACTGCATTATTTTCCAGTTTTAGGTACAGCCTTATAGGGCACCTGAGTGCGATGCTCCACACTGCTCAGTATGAGACTGAGGGTGATCTGAACCCCCATGTTTCCTCTGGAAGTAACAATGTCTTCCTGCTCTGTGCAGCTTCTAGTACAGCAGAAGTCTGGCTCATGACTGCTCCACCAGTACAAGTAATGCTGTAGTACAGTACAGGTGTTGACACTTAGTTTGAAAAG